CATTCACATGCAAATTGTTAAACTGAATTGGATGGAAGACGCACATACAAAAAGGTTTTAATGAATGATTTATACAGAAATTTGTTCTGGCTACTTTTTATGAATAACATCTAATGAGATTTGCATTTGAGGAAATTTTAATGTATACATTATATTTTTCATACGTCTATATTTTTCAGCAAGGACTCGTTAAATAGATTAAAAATATATAAGCTTTTAAAGTACATATATTGAAAAAATCATCAGTATTGTTTTATTTTTTGGTGAAAAAAAATCAGCATAATGTTTACTAAAGAATAACGTGAATTTATATATATATATATATATATATATATATATATATATATACATACACACACACATATATATAATAATTTACTTCTTCATTTGTTCGTTCATTTTCTTTTTGCTTAGTCCTTTTATTAATCAGGGGTTGCTACAGCAGGGGAATCCATACACTCTCATTCACACACATACACCACAGAAAATTTCGTTTACCCAATTCACCTATAGTACATGTCTTTGGACTTATAGTGGGAAACCCACGCGAACATGAGGAGAACATGCAAACTCCATACAGAAATGCTAACTGACCCAGCCGAGGTTCAAACTAGCAACCTTCTTGCTGATATATATATATATATATATATATATATATATATATATATATATATATATATATATATATATATATATATATATATATATTTATAGATATATTTTTTTATATCTTAATATAAATAAACTACCTCAAATACAGTCTTGCACACATGTATTTATATACACATAATTGTTATACATAAAATACACAAATTATGTAAATACAAAGTATGTTGCATGCGATTTAATGCAGTTAAATGCAATTAATCATTGCACAGCTCTAATAGTAAAATGTTAATTACACCAATTTCGTATTTATAAAGATTCATTTTTAAGTCTGTAAAGTTGCTCATGAATAAATAAGATTACATTTTAATATATGAATATGACTGATTTCAGTGTCAGTGCTTAAGAAAATGTGCGTAAAATACATGAATATGAAATAATGTAGCATATTTTTCTATTTGTTTAAATAATTTTGAAAACCGCACAAAACTGCCCGACTGCATCAGAAGAATATTTATTTCAGCCCATTGTCTGTAATTTAAAAAAGGACAAAAACAATGGGCAAAAAATAAATACAATCCTGTTAGACACAGTGGTTTAAGCAGGTTGGTTTAATATTTCCTACTCTCCCTCAAATAACAATCTAACTCAAGCCATCTTTCATGTCATCCAGATATCATTATAGCAGGTGTCCAGCGGTCTTGATGTGCATAATCAGCATTTGATTAACTAAGGGTTTGTTTTGCGGTGTGTCATGGGGAGAATGTGATATGGGCAGACGCAGGAAGAGCACAGCCACTGATAAGAGGGTTTGTTGTGGCAGGAGCCTCACACGTTCCTGCCTCTTCATTTCCTTTCACCCATTTGTGCCCTCCACCCTTTGGGCTGTGGAAAATATGACCAGCGCCTGGATTCAGTCCAGGAATCAATCAAATCTCAATGAGCTGATCCCTGTTACACTGGACGACGCTCAATTTGTGAGCACGATCGGTCACAGAAAAATGCCTTTAGAGGACGGTGGCATGTAAACACCAGTGGAATTAAAGCAGAGTTTCACATTGTCAGCCCATGGGGTTTCCATAATGATGTTGTTGTGGGTAAGCGTTGTAATAGTACTGGACTGAAATTCAGCAGGGGACAGGAAGCAAACCACTGCACTGATCTGCATGGGGTTAATGGCACATCATACAGTAGGCAGGGTCTGTTGTTGATGGTGCCACCTTGGGTGAGTCTAGACCGATGTCTAGACTGACTTTTCACAAATGCTATCTCCGATGCAGAGGTGCTTTGCACTTCATTAGCATATACTGATGCATCTTAGCTGATCAAAACACCTAGGATGGACATTAATTCTGGCTGTAAACAGGGCCTTAATGCCTTCCACACATCAGGAACCATCAAATATTTTACGATCAGGACATGATCCAATAACATTAAATCCATCCACTTAATTAGCAAAACAATGCCATGCTATTATGCCATTGCAAGTAGTACTGATTCAGATTTTATCTGTCCTTTCTCACTTTCAATTTCTCCCCTCTCTAATAATGGATGAGTGGACAGCAGGGTAGGACGATCCCATTCATATTGATGAGGTCCATATATGCTGACTTAAAGAGGAGGGCAGTGAAGGAGACATGAAGGATACCATCTGATCCACCTCTGCCCTGCAGGATATTCAATTTTCAAGTGAGACCAAAGTGTGTGCCAGTTTCTGCAACCTTTTGCATCTTTAATTTGAGATACGGCAGCTGCAGTTTTGTGGGTCGGATCTCTGCTTGCAGTTTACTTTATGAGCCTATAAACACACAGATATTCTCACAACCTGGTTCTTGGATCGTCATGGCATATTTTGTCCATCTATTAATGGAATTTAGGTTAGCCTATTGAATGCAGCGGGGAGAAAGTAGGTTAGAAGCTGGGTCTAAGATGTACCTCTTGAGCAACAGGGAAGGTGACGTAAATTGGCACATTTAACACCATATGTTGATAGATCTACTGAGACATGTTGCGTAACTCAACTCTCGGTCAGTTTAGCTGTCGGTCTGTTTGTAGGAGGCGCCAGCTACGAGATTAAAGTGTTCCTATAACTAGTTCCTCCTCCCTCTGGAAGCAATTACAGGCAGGTACCAGACTGTTGGATGAGGGGCATTCGGCCATATCATACAAATCAGGAGGAAAAGGAGGAGGAAGAGTAGAAAGAGGATTTAATTTATCACAGAAGGAACCAGAACTGTTAAATTGCGTTCACACTTTCAGGGACCTTGTGGTTGCATAGATAATATTTATAAGTGATATTTATTGACATTAAATGAGTTTCTTGCTGCTAAAATTAACATTGTGTAGTGGAAACATTACTTACAAATGGCAAAATCCCTAATACTTAATAAAAGCTTGTGGAGAAGCTGAGAGAGAATCAAAAGCTCACATTGACTGTTGCTCATAAAAGTCAATCTTCATTTACATAAATATGAAAGATTCTCAATTTTGTTCCATCATGGACATGCCCATATCCAGTCCCCAATGGTCGCTGTTTAGCCAGAAATCGCTACAACTCCATTAAAATGAATGGAATCTTTACACATTGTTGCTACATGTCACTGTTTTTTTTTATTTTACACAAAAAAAAAAATTGATATTTACATGTCTCATTTAAACCCCAAAGCAAAAAATTATACATCGTGTAGTGTGAGTACTACTGAATATACTTTACAATGCTTAGGGGCTGGATACTTTTATTAAATAATTAAATGCATGTCCACTCTCTGTTAAATGCATTCTAAAAGTTGTTTTGTAAAAAATAAAATTAAAAAAGAGCTCCAATGTCAATTACAATAGCACGGTTTGAAGCCAAGAGAGCAATTTTACTCACACTCGACTTCTATATACCTGTCAACCCCACAATTTTTTCCAGGATTCTCCCATATTTTACAATTCTTTCCCGCTATCATCCTATTAAGGTATTTTCATGCATTTCTCCCGTATTTTTAATCTATATTAAGGGTGGCAATAACCATTAAAGAGGCAATCCTCTTTATATGCAACCCATACCACCGAACCACCAGGGGATGCACCTTGCTCTTAAATGTGAATCTGTTCTTGGCTTTCATTTTATTTAGGCGTGAAAACACTTAAAATGGTGGGATTCCCTTTCTTTCCATAGCAATACTCAAAACAGTCAGTTCATGTAGGGATGCGTGACTGTCAGACGTGCTCTGTAGTGATATTTCCCGAACGGATTCTGTACATGCGTTTTGAAGCGAAGCGAATGTGGACACTCTGGGTTTTGGGTGTGTTTGAACAGACATATGCACATTATATAATAATGTCGTTCTAGGTGGGTTTTCATTTGAACACAACAAATGTTATCTTAAATAAGCATAAAAAGTAAGAAAAGCAATCAAATGCTTTCATTAAAATGTTACATTGTGTGCATTTTTTAAAGTGACACCTCTGTTATTTTATTTAATCAAACGAAAAATGTAAATGAGAGATTCACTCATTGCTGTTACTCAGGTTTAAATTACACAGTGAAGAAAAGGTTAATGTGATTTGAATAATAGCTATAATTTTTTATATGCTAAACTATTGAATTTATTTGGAGCTTTTAAATCTATGTTATTTTTTCTATCCTATGTAAATAATAACAATAATAAACACTTATTACTGACCGTTTAAACTTTTTATTTACAATAAAACAGCTCCAGATGGACATCTTTATTAATTTTGGGATATCCCTTATTTGTTGACAGGTATGCTTCCATTAGCTGGCCTCAATTATTCATATTCCCATAATACTCCATTCCATCTGGGTCACAATACCAGTGTAACAGTTTCTGTGTTCTACTCACAATCTACTCACAATCTCCAGCATCTTAAGATCAGGAAAGTTAGTTTTACTTGCATTACTTGCACTAATCCTTGCTAAACCTTACTCCCATATATGTCAAGGCATAAATAGAAGCCGTATTCACAAAACTCAGTGGAATGTTAACCAACACATTCGGCATGGGAGGTAGGTGCACTTAATGCAGTTTAAGACAGCAGCCTCCAACATCAGTTGCTAGTAACCCTAAACCTTACTCCCATCTGCGTCATGGCACCAATTAAACTTCTTTGTGAGCTTATGCTTAAGCTGATGTCTTTGTGGGGGTTTTACCATTAAGTCTAATGTTTATAATAATTTAAGTATTAAATTTTATGTAAACTAATTTCCTTCATTAATTATTAAATTAAATCCGGAGGCTTGTATGTGGTGCTATTTACACAAGTTGATGGTCTCTCCATTATACTCGTCTCGAAAAGGGTTTCAAGTCTCAAGATATCAATCGGGTGTAATTATTACAGGTGTAGATTACATAGAGGCTTGAATTTCATCAGAGCATTTTAATTACCTGTGTTCCTGAGAGTCGTGAAGCTAGCTGATGTTGTCAGTTCATCGTGTCGCTTTTGTGTTGTCAGATCAGCATTCTTCGCAGTGTCCTTATCGCCTTCCTCCCATGCAAAGCCTGATGGGAAAACAGAGCATACAAGGCTGAGAATGAAAGTTATGACTGAAAGAGCTGAAAAACAAGAACATTTCCTAACCCAGTTATGTCAAACAGATTTCTGCAGTATTCCGGGCCAGACATCAGTGGCATTAGAGTTGGCATATCATTGTGCAATTATGAAGACTTGACTTTCATGTTTGAATGCGCACAGCCAACTCCACTGTGACAGAATTTCATTACAAATCAGAAACAGAAACCTTATCTTTGTGACCAAGCAGGATTATTAAACTAATCTGAAAAACTTTTCCATGAGAAAAAACTGGGTTGTGCTTTAAACCCTTACACACCTTACCAAGACTGAAAATGGACTTGACACAATGAGGCCAGAGTGTTTAATATCTGGTCAACGGTCAAAGCTTTCCACAGATCCTAATGAAATAGCTTGTTCTATTAAGTGCCATCATGCCTCAGTGTTTGCTACATTCTTTCTTAATAGACCTTGAGGTGGATTATTTACATTCCCAAATGAGTAGCTATGCAGACATTTGGACATACTTGTCTATATGGACTCTGTGTATGGATGTGCAGCTTCGGTGTGTATCCTACAGTAAGCTGAGGGTATAAACCTTTCATTGCATCTACAGAAAAAGAAACCAAATGACGATCAGAGTGACTCTCTTTCATTGTAACTGCATAAGATCTGCATGATCCTGGTTCTTTCTGTGTATTTTCAGCATGCTTGTTTCTGGACTGATCACAGCAGATCTTCATTGTAGTGCTGAAACAGTCTCTCATTAGCATGAATAATGAGCTATGCACCAAACCAAGCAGGAAGTCTACAGAAGGACAATGTGTGTGTGCGTGTTTGTGCTCATCTCTACTCATCCTCTCTTGGCAGGAGTTCACTCAAGCAAACCATCAAGCATCGCTTGGTCACCACTTGATTTCATCATTGTCTGTGAGAGAAAAATACAGGTCTGTCTATCTATTGAGCCAGGCAGCCAGCCTTCCATATATATCCTTTATCTATCCATTCATCTGTATCTTAATGCCTTCATCCTATTTGTATCTATCCACATGTATCCATCCATACATACCTATCCATCCACATAGATCCACAAATCAACAAAATATACTCTCATCTGCATTCATCTTATCCATGCAAGCCACTACATTCATCTGTATCTATCGATATAAGCCCATATAGGATGGGTATAAAGTAACTAAGCATTAAAAATGGGTAAAAATAATAACGATGCCTGTATTAATGACAAAATATGAAATTATATTTACTGTCATACTGTTTTTTATTATGACTTCAGTGATAGTACAAGTTCTACATAGCCATTAAATATTGGTGTAATATTTTATCACCCACCCTGTTTGTCCATCCATACAAATCCATCTGTATTTATTAACATACATTTTACTATCTATCCAAGTCCTTCCTCACCTACATCTATCTATTTATACCATCCATAATTATTCATATCTGTCTATATACATCTACCTTTATTCATTCCTCTAATCCATAACATCAATCTTATCTATCTATTTGCTGTAAACAGTCATATGCAAAAAGCACAGTGACCCTAGATCTACCAAGGAACTCATGCTCAGTTCATCTTTCCATCTATACCCATTTATCGATGTCCATCCATACTTCTTCATCTGCATCCAACCCTTTTTAACCATTTATATCTACTCATCTATAGCCATCCATATTTGTCCATCCATCTACAGTCAACATTTGAAGTGCATCAAAAAAGTTCAATAATGACACTAATGAGTGTTGTTGAATAGTTTGAGGACAACTTTAATGAAAGGTTTTGATGCACTTTAAATGTTGATTAGTGCACATGCATCCATATCTACTCATCTATGCACATTAATCCACATCCAATCACTTTTCATCTATATTTGTCCATCTACATTTAACCAATACTAAATCTATATGCAACCATTGAGCATTTATCTATAGAAATCATATTTAACCATCCATCTTTATCCTTCCTTATATATATATATATATATATATATATATATATATATATATATGCATTTTTAACCATTCATTTTTATTGATTTTTAGCCACAAAAACAGCTTGAGTTATGATGATTGATGTTACAAACTGTTATTTTCTTCAAATTTTATTAATATTCTTTTGAAGATGAAGTAATTTGACCATTTTTGTTTGCTGTTTGTTATTCCTAGTCATTTCCAAAGGCAAATGAATTGGAAGTCTAAAAAAAATTTACAAAAAAGAGCTTACTTCTGTATAGTAAAAGAAGGTTAATATAATACATCTATATTCAATCATTGACATCCATAATTAAGTTGTCCGTCAACATCTATCCACAATCTATACCTAATCCATCCATATGTATATATTATCTACCATGTGTATCCATGCATCCATCCCTTCACATTTAATGTAGAAATATAGTATTGTAATTTGATGCAATATTTATTTTACAGTAGTATATTTAAGAATGAAATTTATTATGATTATTAGCTGTAGTGTCATTAGCAGTAGTAATAATTATCACCAGTAAATCAGTCTATCTTGTCTGTCTCTATACGAGTGATTTAAAGATTCAGACTCTTCCACCAGCTGTGTTCAAATGAAGCGTCAAACGTCCACTATCACTCTCTACCAGAGCCACAGATCCTCATTAGATGATAAGAAATGTTCTCTCAGTGCTAGTTATTCATCTAAGCAACCCTCTTTACCTTCATCCTCCACCCCTCCTCCTCCTCTTTCCCTGCACTCCATTAATAAAGATGGAATTAGATCAGAATTTGTAATTTTGACCCCTGCACAGTGTGACATATATCACATAATCTCTCTCATGAGGCCGAATGTGTATGTGAGTGACTGAGTGTGTGTTTGTCTGGGAGATTTTCAACACAATTCAGTGTGTTCAAGAGAAAACAAATATCCCCATCTGAATTTCATTAAAACAGGATTTTAGGGGCAACATCAGCACACGTTTACCCTCTATTTGGATTCAGTAATGGCAGTAATGAGCTGGCTAGTCTAGACATTTTGAATCATAGGGCTAACCACTATTAAAGTTAGAGTAAGGTAAATCCTTCTAGGCTATTGTTGTGTGTGCTCTGTCCGTTCTACCCAAATCACAGCTGGCAATATACTACACTACACATTTTAGCTGTGTTGCCGTGACAACAATCAAGCTGTAACCAGCCTGAGAGCCATAACCTTGACAGCTGTTTAGTTGATGATCTGATACGCTACTGAAATAACTAGCATGTCAACAATCACAAAGTGAAATGATTATTTGGTTGACCAAGAACGTCCTTCACTCAAACCATGTTTGTTAGTGGAATCTGCATTGCTTTCTTGATCAGCATTTATTGTTTTTAAAGTGATGTGAAGATGATTTGTGTTTTGGTAGATAATAGGTGGAGGCCACTTTACAGCTAAAGTCTATATACTCAAGGTTTTTTTTTTATTTCTCATAAGCAAATGGTTCTCACAAAAGAAAATTGCTAGGTAAGTTTTACCTAACCCACCCCATTTCATTCTATTAAAATATTTGTTTCACAATAAAATGCTAAAACTGTAAATTGTTAAAACTGTAATAAAATGATTTTTAGACAATTTAAACTCATTTAAATTAAATGCATATACATTAATTCATATTTTTACTTATACTTTGCATTTGTAAAGTGCATTGATTATACGAATGACATATGATACATGAAGTTTTACTGTAACACACACAGTAGCATTAGTGTAATTATATTGCAAAGTATTACTGTTATCAGAACAAGATGTTTTATTTTATATGGGATGGTAATAGTAAATAAATCTCAGAAAGAACCAAAAAATCTTAAAAACTTGAATGGCAATCAGTCAAATTGTTTCTATTTTCATTTTACAGTGTTATCTATAGTATACTATATACTGTGGTAGTAAAAACAACAAGTTTCCACTTTTTAAGCTTTTACATTTAAACTTTAACCAAAAAAATGTGTGTGTCTCATGACGCAGACTTTTTTCATGTACCATACAGTCTGATATGCTTGTTTCCTCTATCTCTATTTCATCACTCCGCTCTTTACAGTGTGTTGTTCAGCTCTTTCCCAGTCTACCATCCTCCTCCTCCTCTCGGTGTGGTAATTGACCTTGCTCTGAGCTCCAGTGTGTTTCTGAGGTGGGGGATTTGCAATTTGTGGCTGCCTGCACCTCCAGAAGACAAGGTGACCCAAACATTAGTCAATAATTTGCTGTTTCTCACACACTCGCATGCGTTGCAAAGTCGCAGTGCATGCTCTTTAGAGTCAGTGCCATGTTACTATATGTCCTTTTACAGGCACATAGAAATCTTATTTGATCAAGTTGTTGCTAAATTGACTCCATTTAAAACGTATCACAATAAATTTTTGATGAGGTCCAGTTAACGCATGATAATGCAACTAAAATTAAGTACTTAGTAGCAACTGTCTTAACAATGTACAAACTCTGTCAGAAAAAGAGACATACGGATGAATAGGGAAGTACCCTTTCAAAAGATACAGTACATGTCTGTTTTTACCTTAAAGGTACATATATTAGTATTAGTAGTATTAGCAAAGTATAAGTATAGTATTAGTACTTAATTTCTAGACACTAAAATGTACCTTTAAGAAAACAATATGGACCTTTTAGGTAAAAAAATTTACCTGTGTAATGAGGCCAACGTTAAGTGTAATTTCTTAAATGCTTTAAAATAGCTTTCTTCTAATGCATGTCAGCAAAAAAATTTTATAGATTGGCGTAAAATTTAAATATGCTGTGCTAAATACAGTATGAACACTGCACAAAATGTACTTTTTGTAATCTGTTGAAACCTTTTTCTTTAAATTTTTGTTCATTTTCTGAACTATTTTAATGATTGAAATAAATAGGTAAACAAAAAATATTGTCTAATGAAATTATTAGGTTTGCATAATTTAAGAATATATATATATTTATATTTTTTTTACATTTTGAAATATTAAGCTTAAAAGTTTAAATATAAAATTGAATTTTGTTTATTCTGTTAAAATGCAGATTTTGGGCTTTATTTTGACGGTCCATGCGCAGAGCACAAAACGCAGGGAGCAAACGCATTCAGGGCGTGTCTAAAAGGGTTGAGTTTATTTTTTTAACGAGTTATAGGTGTGTTTTGAGAATAAACCAATTAGAGTCTCATCTCCCATTCCCCTTAAGAGCCAGCTGCGTTGCGCCAAGCGCATTTGCTATTTACAGGACGTAAAGTAAGTCTAAGTGGAAAAACTGAGCACTTCACAAGCAAACAGTTAACAGTTTTTTTAACAGAAAACAGTTAAACAGAGCATCTACTGCGTGAGAATGAGAGATAATGGATCTACTTTCACTTTCGCTCTTGGATAGGGAAACCTTTACGCACAGACATCAATTAGTCTATAAATAATTAATTGCGTTTGTTAAGTGCAAATATTCGTTTCAAAACTATTTCTAAATTCAGTTCTAATTTCCAGCAAACGAATAAATGAACAATATTAACGAAGTGTGCTCAAAAAAATGAGTTATATCCTAAAACACATGCTGTGCCCCATATGGTCTAAAACCTGCAGGTGAGCAAATCTAAGCTTGTTTTTAATAAAACAAATATAAATATGGATATAATAAATAATACTGCTAATAATAATAACATTATACAAAAGCTAATTGTTATGAATGAACTGAAAAAGCCTCCCGAGATGAAGAAGACATAAAAGCAGTGATTTTTCATATTTATGTAGGCTAGAAAATAATATGTTTTGTAATATTTTAATCCTTTATATTTATATCCTATATCTATTCTTATTATATCCTATATATATCCTTAATATTTAATTTTTTTCATATGTAAAGATATTTGCCTATTGCTCTCTTGTGCGTATTAAGCAGTGTGTAAGCAAGGCGCAACTCTGCGCTTGAGTTTAGACTGGGTTTGTTTTGGTCTAATGAAAAATCTATTTTAGTTTCTCAAAATAGCAACGCGCCAGCAGTGCACCTCAGAACGCCTTCCTTTTTAGACCAGAACACGTGCATGTATTACTTGACTAAGTGTGAAGCGCTACATTTGAATTATTCATTTGGAATACACCAAATTCAATGACATTGTGTGTCTTACAACCAATTCCATTCTTGTGATTAAATTCCTCAATTCTGTCTGCTGTTTCCACATATATAAACCCTTGATACAATCAAAATTCTTTCCGGACCTCCAGATTTGCGGCATGTCACTGTTTGACGGTACTGCAATAAATCTCAGCGATAAACCAGGTGCCGTGGTTGGTAACAGCTTTCAATGCCCCATATCTATTCCTCAGCACTTCCGCCATCTGAAAAGATTCCACAAGTTTGGACGAAAAGGAAAGGAACAGAAGGCAAGGAAAAACATGTCTCCGGGAGCCAAGATAGCTTGAAAGAAAACATAAGACTGAAGAGCTAAATGAGACTTATGGCTGGGAAAAAAAAAACAGACATGCCCAGTAAACGTCAGGAGAGGCCTATTACTGCGATTGAGGATAGATAGAGTGAATTGAGAAAAGGAGACTAAATGTTGAGAGAGGCATGCTCAGCATCTGTGAACAGGCGGTGCGGAAAAGCATCGTCCCAGAGGATTCACTGGCTCTGCTGACTTTGCCATTGGAATACTGATCATATACCGCCCAACTGGCTACTTCTCTAGTGCAAATCCCATGCTTACTGTACACACTCTGTCTGTTCCACTGCTCCCTTAGCTGTAGATATCAAACACAGCCTTGTCAATACTGGATAGCATGCTTAGCTAGCTAACATGCACCACTGCTAAGTGTGTGGCATAGATATCTGGAGAGTTTGGTTGTGTGATCAGCTTAGAAGTCTATATTGATTCTTCTGGGTGGTATCTTGATCTTATATAGCTAGATCTTTTTTTTGATGATTTTAATGGTTCCAATCTTGGATGAAAATGGAGGATGGCAGCTATGATTTCAATAATCATGTGGTGTGTTTTGGAACAACCCAATGATAGCTTAAGCCACAAAATTCAGTGTTTTATGTAAATTTGTTATGATTATCAAAATTGAACCTATGTCTTACAGGCTAATGAATAGAAAGCAACCCTAATAGGGCAGAACCTGTTACACTCAGATGGATGACATTCCTTTCACTAAATATTGACAGCAGTTTGCATGTCTGAGGAACTCGGGGGCTATTAATCAATTCATCAGCCTCATTGATTACACTGCTAACCCTTCATTGGTAATCAATGATACCTTGGCAACTCATTTATTACAAATTTTCACCTTAAACAGAGGTTGAACAATAAGACCAATGAACAAAACCCTGCCTATTCATTAAAGGTCAAACTGTATCATCTCAAAATCATATGCATGGGTTGTAAGGATTAAACTTACCTCCTGCTGGCAGGGCGGCAGTGGAATCTGTGCCGAAACTTTCCCGAAACTTTCCCATTTCTGTTGGACTTGTGGTCTGCTCTACCCATGTAAATCCATCCAGAGTCTTCTCAGTGGGCTCAAAGGTTGTCCATTCTGGTTTTGAGGCTGTATTTGTTGTCTCCAGTGTGTTTTGTCCAGTGCTGACAGTGGTCAGATGATCAGTAGATACTTCCGGCTTTGGGTCTGCTGGTGTTACGAAATGTGTGGTTTGAAATGAAGTCTCTGTTAGTTCTGATGTTGTTGATGGAGTGTCTGTGGGTTCGATTTGGTCTGTGTAAGAGTTCATGGTTTCTGTAACCATACTCAATGTACCATTCTGAGTGATGCTGGTACTCTGAGCAGTGGATAGAGTGTATGTTTGTGGTCTAGTAATCTGAGGAGATGTTGTTTGTGGTGTTTTCGATGTACTTTGGCCAATATTGGGAGGCCAGAGATCAAGATCATAGCTATGATCGAGGATGGAAGGAGGTGGGTCAGAGCTTTGTAATTGTGGTTTGTTCCTGAGTAAGTGATCTGTTGGCAGTTTTGCTGATTTTAAAGGCAGCAGGGTGCCTATCTGGACAGTGCTGCTTTGAAGCTCCTCATTTGTGGTTGCAGTCGGCTGGTATTTCAGGGTGGTTAAGTCCTCTGAAGATAGAATATAGTCTTGTGTAGTTGCTTCTGGAAGGGTCAAGCTCACCTTTGTTCCCGCAGAATCTCTATTCCTGTTGAAAAAATTGAATGATCCCAAACCAAGTGATGGAGGTTTCCAGTTTGGCAAGTAGGGCAGCCCCCAACCTTTGGAGTCTGCCTTGGTTTGGGCTGTTGGTTTTGGCCCATTCCCACCGAAAAATCCATTGACTGAACTGAAGAGAGAGAACACCACAAGAGTCCTGTACAGAAGCAGCATTCTGCCCCTCTAATGTCGTCACGGGCCACTGCTCACATGGTGTCTGACTTCCAGAGGAATGCCCACCAGATGCGCCGGGCTTTGGCAGCAAATAACCTAAAGCAGAGACACAAAACACATGAAACATTATAGATGTTTTTTTCCATTGCACCTTTACAGTGTATGGACCAGTTCAAGTGTCAAATTAAGTAGTCTCATACCAACCCTACTTCCTTCTGTTGTCACAGAGGTGGCCTCAACTCCCCATTGACAGAGCAATTATAGAGGCAGGGCTCTTTAAGAATACTAATGGGAGACTAGAGGTTCCTTTGTGGCTGGGTATGTATATATGGGGGTGGTGTAGTAGGACGTATGGGGGCCCAGTTTCTTTGTGGAGCTGTGGGCTAATTTTGGAGTATAAAGCTGATGATGGCCTGTAGCCTCAGTGAGAGGAGGTGAATATGATGGAATTTCACTTGGAATGGAGTGAGACTTGGATGTTTTTTTTCTTTCTTTGCCACCCCCGCATCCCTCTCTCTCTCTCCGTCTCTCTTTTTCTCTCTCTCTCTCTCTTATGCAATTGATTTGTTCTCGAGACTGCAATAAACTCTCTACTCTCCCACTGGGAATAGCATTCGTTGTTTTTGGTCAGTAAATAGCAGGATAAGTATTTCGAAATTCTCTTTCATTTCCTTTCTTTCTGTAACCCAATTGTGTCTTATCCATCTCCTGATGCCATCCGTATCACAGAAATGGCCTCCCTCAGAGTCTTTTTAAAGGCTGAACTCCTTCTCATGGCTAAATGAGGTTTGCTTACTAGATTAGATCAACTAACTGGCTCAGGATAATGGGTTGAAAAGAGATGGATGGATTTCAGGTTAGTCTTTGTGAGAAAATGGAAAAAATCAGCTACAATCTATGGATGCACATCAACCTTTGTGATCATTTATTGATTATTGGTTCAAGGGTAATTAAACAATTAAGAGTCAAAATGCATCCAACCAACCCTTTCATGCCAGATTAAAGCCAGAATAGGTGATTGGCTATAACAAAAACTTTTTATGCTGGTTGAATGTTTCTTCACATCCTAATAGCAATTATTAAGTTAGGTAGTCTAAATATATTTTTGTATGATTTCTATCATAAATAGGAGGCATAGGAAAAAAAGACTTAAATGATCTGTAGCATTTATAGCTAGTTTGCAATTGCTAGCCTTTCCCACAATTCCCAAACATGACCCAAAACTGGTGCCAAAATCTAAAAAAGTGGTCACACTTTATTTTGATGGTCTGTTTGTTGAATTTAAGTTACATTGCATCTACATGCCAACTAATTCTCATTAGATTATTGGTAGACTGCTAGGTTGGGGTTAGGGTTAGTGTAAGTTGACATGTACTTGCAAAGTTTCTTATAGTCAGTTTAAATGTCCGTTTAGCAGCAGTAACAACAGATATTAAGCAGACAGTTAACTAATACTCAAATAGACCATCAAAATAAAGTGTTGCCAAAAAAAGATAACACCAAATTTACAAACATGAATACATTTTATAAAGAATTCTGGACAATCTGGAAAGCAAGTTTCCGGTGTCCTGACATTTTATCCTACCCATCAGATGCAACCAACACTACATTTGAATAGTTCTGAGGTTGGAGTTAGGGATTAGGTAGGTTAGGGCGATATTACAGCTTCATATCACACTACTCCACATTAAAATGTACTCTGGTAGCAAAATCTGATAGATTTTATACTGCGTCAACAAAATTTGCTACCTACTTTTTCAATGAGAGGTAGGACAGTCTGACAAGGTAGGACAAATCGACAGAACACCGGTCACATAATGATATATGCATTGGCGCAAATGGAGAGGGAGGAAGCGTAAGTTATACTGTTAATCAAAATGGCACTTATGCTTATTCTGAATGCTGAAAACTATACTAACATTGTTAAGCCAACATAAAAGTATGTCTTTATGTGACAAGAATCTTGCACTCAAGACTCTTTGCAGAGACTGTAGAGTAAAGGTAATGATATTGTACATATTTTCATTCAAGACTGTATTATCTAGAGCCATGGAAATGTATTAGCTTTTTAAAAGAAATGGTAAGTCAATCAACACAAAATTTTCATTGTTGATTATCCTTTTTGTAAGATGTTCAAATTTATTTGACGCGCAAACTCTCACAGTACTTTATGGGTGTTCTCTAGCTGTTAAGTCTACATTGGTTGTACACTTGTTATTTCGATGCCTCAAAAGATTGATTGAGTGCACTTCACCATGGCTTCAAACATCTCTACAAATGTCTGCTCCTTCAAAAAGAGGAAATCTTAAGGGTAGAGGTGGCCATTTCAGATACAACCATAGTAATTATGGTCATCACTAGTCATATGGTTTACTTGTTACCACACGCCACCTGTTCTGAGTGAACAGAGTCTTGTCTTCAACAACATCACCATTAAAAAGAGCATTACTACAAGCATGATTTATCAAACTATTTATCAGACGCTATACACTTTGCTTTCTCTGCCTACACGTTGTCTTTCACACCTTCTGAAACATTTTATTTCACAGGAACAGTTGTATCAGTGCTAAATGCCTCAGTAAGTCAGACCCCACAGGAGCTTGTTAAACAGCATCACAGACGCTGTTGTGTGGATCTGTCAGAGTCTGTGCCAAACCGGAAACCTAAATGACTGTATAGCGTCGAGCTTTACTATTACACCCCCCTTTCTTTTCTTCTTTCCCCGTCTCTATCCATTTCTTTCACCCTCTTTCCCTCTTTCATTGTCATTTTGTTCCACCAAGCGTGGCAAAGAAAGGGCCCGCCAGTGCAGGACGTAATTGCTCAAGCTGAAAAAGGGAAAAAGCCAGTTTTCAAAAGCTACTTCTGATTTAACATTACAAATTTGGTCCTCGTCTGAAATTTCTTCTTATTTGTTGAGTTTTTAAAGACATCCTTCACAACAAAGCCTCTGGATCACACAATCCTCCAAAGCAAAAACACAATTCTTACACTCATAATATGGTTCATTAAAATTTTCACAATTTTTATGTTAAAATTCTTTACTTCAATTTTTTGTTAACTGGTATAAAAGATCCAGAATTTGCATTGGATAAACACTAAAAGTATTAATAATAACAATACACTGAAAACCCAACAGTCCACTTTATCAAATAAAATGAGTGTAGTTAACTCAAGATTGACTGAAAGTTATCTCTACTTATTTGAAAAAGGTTTTGAACTCAGTGTTAAATTAGGATTGTTTTTTAACTTAAATGGTTTGTTGCAATTGGTTTTCTCAAATGGTTTGGGTTACCTTAAACTTTTTAAACAATATTGTTCATTCAATGTTACACCAATATACACTTAGCAGTAAATGAATGTGCAGTTTTTGACATTGAAATAATGTTCTTATGACTTTTACATTATACAAACCTGTTTATATTGACCACATATTTTATGCACATTTTAATAATATTATTGGAATTATATGGTTACCTAAATTGTATGATATTTATTTAGAATATGTTTTGATGACTTTTGGATAGCTTCAAGCTGTAACCAACCATTATTTATACACCTGATTTCTGATCCAATGTAAAACATTGAAAAACTATCAAAATAAGATAAAAATTCATGTCAACAAAGTTTGTGTTATTTTAACCTATTAAATACGTTAATCAGGTTTAACAATTTTTTAAGTAACACAAAGTTAACTTAGTGGCGTCATGGTGGCGCAGGGGGTAGTATGATCACCTCACAGCAAGAAGGTCGCTGGTTTGAGTCCCGGCTGGGTCACTCTGCATTTCTGTGTGGAGTTTGCATGTTCTCTTTGGTTTGCATGGGTTTCCTCCGGGTGCTCCGGTTTCCCCCACAAGGCCAAAAAAATGTGGTATAGGTGAGAAACATGTGGTATAGGTGGATAGGCTAAATTGTCCATAATGTATGTGTGTGAATTTGTGATGCTTCCCAGTGATGGGGTGCAGCTGGAAGGGGATCTTCTGCGTAAAACATATGCTAGTTAAGTTGGCGGTTTATTCCGCTGTGGCGATCCCTGATCAATAAAGGGACTAAGCCTAAGCTTTTATTCATGTAGAAAATCATAATACACAAACACAAATCTCATTGGATCTTGCAGAAAGACATACATTTTTCAAGATCATATTGAAGCATCAAAGATTTTGTTTAATAATTTTTCCAAGGAAATCATTCCGATATGATTTAAAATATCTTCATTTTTTTCCTAAAGATAAAAATTAACGTTTGAGTCAGTGTGAGTAAAAATCCCACTTATTCAAAAGAAGAAAGGACCTGAATGAAGCCATCAAGGATCTGTAAGGTTGAAAGATTACAGTTGGGTCAAAGTCTCCGTCACTCACTATACTGTACACATTTTTAAATGTGGTCTAGCACTGAAGATCTTCTTAAGTGTTGACAGATCGACTCGTCATGATATCAATTACTTTAACAGTCCTCTAGACGTGCATGACGGCTGTGGGAATCACTGGCTCACGCCTTTGATTTATCCACCAAACCGTTCAGGCTCTTATCATACAGACAATATGGGGGAAGGGATATTTATGACCTGCAGCCATAAAAACACACAAATGCCTATAAAGGGGTTTTCCTTTAAACACAGTCTAAAGGTTTTTAGAGACAGCGAAAGTCATTAGCTTAACCTTAACCTCAAATTAACCCAACCATGAACCAGAGCAGGCATGGTCTTTTAGATCATGACCTAAATGCAGCATAGACCTAACATACAAAGTCTCAGACAATTTAGTGCGGGTTAACCAAAACATAAAAAACAGAAATTCAACCTAGCCCTAAACTACAAAGCGTTTTAACAATAAAAAGCTTAAACAAGGATTTAGGGTATTGGAGGATTCACAGGGAAAAAAATTAAGTTTAAACAGTTGTTGACAACTAAAATTTCAGAAAATTTGCTTTAAATTAAACATGATTTTATGACGTAACAATTTGCTTTAAAAAATTAAATAAAAAAAAAACACGTTTTTGCATGAACAAAGTTGAAAACATCCCAATGTTAGCAAAATGACAGTACTTGAATGTTTTGTTAGGTGACATGGTGGCGCAGTGGGTATAGCACGATTGCCTCACATGTAGCAAGAAGGTCGCTAGTTTAAGGCTCAGCTGGGTCAGCTGGTATTTCTATGTGGAGTTTGCATGTTCTCTCCGTGTTCGCAAGAGTTTCCTCTGGGTGCTCCGGTTTCCTCACAGTCCAATGACATGTGCTGTAGTTGAATAAGCTAAGCTTAATTGTCTGTAGTGTACGTGTGAAGTGAAGTTTCTAAGTGATGGGTTGCAGCTGGAAGGGCAACCCTGCATAAAACATATACTGGATAATTTGGCGATTCATTCTGCTGTGGTGACTCCATATTAATAAAGGGACTTAGCCGAAAAGAAAACAAATAAATGTTTTGTTTATTATATACATATAACCTGTATACTAGATGTCGCATTTTGTCCACAAGTAAATTTTCTGAAGTAATGTTATACATTAAAAACAGATTGAATTCACTAAAATGTTAAGTAACGAATTAAATATTCGACCATTATTCATCATAACTCGTATGTTTATGTATAAAAGGTAATAACAATTTTGTGAATTTTTACATAATCAAATAAATAAAAGCATTAATTGACCATACAAAAATTTAAATGATAAAAAAGCTTGCTTACAATTATGTAAAATCTAGTGGTTTGAGGCATTTTTAATAATAATAAAAAAACTAATAAAAATATCACACACTCAAAAAATAATTTTTGTGCTTGTTCCAACTACTTTCCTAAAATAAGCTGAATCATAACAATTCTTGAGTTTACTTCCTGAATAACTTAATTGTTTTATGTTCAAGCCACTTAAATTTGTAAAATGTAATTAACTTAATCACTTTGTGTTGGGGAAAACAAAGGAATTGTGTAGAACCCAGATTTATTTTACAGTGCATTTGATTATTATTATGCAATCTTTAAAAATTTATTAGTATGTTAACTTATTATTATCGTTGTGAATATGCCTGACAAGATTTTGGTGTGTAAGAACTATTGTTACACTGAATGACATAATAGTGGGTGTCTTGTGAAAAGGTTCAAATGTATGATAGTTTTTTTTGTCACAGACAAAATTAAATTTTATAGAAAATTTAATAGAACAAATTCGAATGAACAGAATAAATAAACTGCATTACACTTACTTTTAATTTTTTTAATTCTTATACTTATTACTACTACTACTACTAGTACTATTAATCTTATTTTTTAAAGTAAAACATCTGTAGAGCTGGTCTTATCAATTTGAATCCCCCATTAAACTTTAAAACAAACAATAGATGGTGGATTAACAACAATAACATCATATCCACAGGCGGCATCGTTTTATTGTATTATTTTTATATTATGTTATATTATCATAATTGTGTAAAGGTTCAAATGAATGATTTTTCTGTCACAGACAAAATGAAATTTAATTGAAAATTTAATGGGACAAATTCAAATGAACAGAAAAAAATAAACTGCATTACACTTATTTTAATTTTTAAAATTCTTATACTTACTACTACTTCTACTACAACTACTTCTACTACTACTACTACTACTACTACTGATTGATAGAGCTGGTCTATCAATTTGAATCTCCCATTAAACTGTGTGAGAAATAATTCAAAGACCTTATATTTATATACAAAAAAAATATTCGCTTATAAAAATGAGGCATGTTTTCATTTAATTTTAGTATATTTAAGTTTAATAAGTACATTTTTGTGTCCATTTATGTTAAATTGCATTTACAAAAGTGATTTCAAATGTATTGAAAGGATATTAAAGGCCAGAAAAAAATCAAATATATGGTTGAATTCCTGTTCCGATGTCATTCAGCATTATTATTGTCAATATTAATTGTATTTTTAGGGTGAAACATCTTTAGAGCTAGTTTTATCAATTTGAATCCCATATTAAACTGTTAAACACAAACTAGATCAAAACATCATGTCCACAGCTGCCATCGTTTTAACAGAACACCTTAAATCCCCCCAAACCGACTGATTTGTTGGAGAGCTGAATGTGTTGTTATTTTACATACAGTTTCCCCTCCCCTTCCCTCACACTGAAAATGCTGAACTCAATAATGTTGACTACATGTACACACTCATTTTCCACAACGGTGGCTCTCATGTGCCGTCACACTCTTCATTAACACGGCGTTATCATGCTGCAGGCCTGAATGGATCAATCCATGCATGTTTACACTGTATATGCATATATATTGATGAATAAAATGTCCTGATTATGATTTTTTTTCGTACCCTGCCTTTAAATATCAATGCTGGGTGAATTATTCTATCCTCGCTCTCACTATTTAAAAACATGTTGATATGTGATGTTTATGGATCAAAATATGTATACATTTTAGACATCAACACATTCCTTTTCAACCTGTTGACCTTTCTGACCATAAACACTTCAGCAAATATGACAGTCGTTTCCAAATGTTGCAAACGTTTTTCACCATCTTGGCACATCCATGATATTGCTCCTCAGGAGGACTTGATTACACTTGGCTGTGAAAACGTGATTAATGACCTGTCAAGCTAATGTTTTTGTGGGCTTTTCTCTGAAAGCATCCGGATCACCTGATTATCTGAAAACGCACGGGCTGCTATACGCCGGCTGCCTTTACCATGGTTACTGAAACAGCAGCAGAATGCATCCGAATCTGCCAGATTTTCCCTTCACCACACATATGTGAATGTGTGAAGGAGTATGACATTGTTCACAGTCACCCGGTATAGCGCAGCATAGAGCAAATACAGCTGTTTATAAACCTGACACACACGTTTCAGACTGAGACTGTCACATTTATACACCTACAGTACATCAGGATATTCAGATATCTGCAGTGAGGCTGTAGCTTCTGCATTTTGAAACATTCCTTTGGAAGATGAAGGAGAGAATAATAAACTCACCCTTTCTCCCCGAGGAGAAGAAGAAAACAATTCCAGAAGAGCCACCAGCACTGTACTGCAGGAGAGCGAGATCTGTGTCTGTGCGCGCGCGTGTGTGTGTGTGGGAGAGAGATCCGCTTTGCTCTCTCTCTCTCTCACTTGTTCTCTCTCCTCCCCTCGCTCTCTAGGCTGCATCAGTAGTCTAGTGGAGGATTCAGATGCACAATATCTGGTCACACCTCGCTGAGCATATTGTTAGAGAGCAGAGTGCAAGCACCCTACAGCAGGCAGTCGTCAAAGAATTAGGCAACCTACACAGAAAAAAAAATACATGCTCAAAAACACACAAATGAATGCATAAAAACCTACATGTGGCATATACTACTATTTACATATGTTTTTTTTCCCCCACAAAATTTTAAATACGCTTTTGGCAATATGAGTGCATAAATAAGTTTGTGGTATAATATAATATAATATAATATAATATAATATAATATAATATAATATAATATAATATAATATAATATAATATATTATAATATAATATTCAAAGTAAAAAAATTAGGAAAAAAAATACCAGCAATTGTATACACACACATTTTATATATTATTTTTATATTATATTTTCATAAATTATTAAATTAATACACACAGATATGCAGTCTCCCCATTATAGTAATTGTGAGAGCAACAATTATAAGACCTTACACTCACATTCCACAAATATTCACAATTATAAAAATTAGACATTTATTTTCAATATATTTATGTTTAATATATGCAAATTACATTAGCAAAAAAAATAAAATAAAAATGGCAAGCCATTTTTGTGTCCATTGCATTAACAAAAGTGATTTCAAATGCACTGAAAGCATATTAAATGCCAGAAAAAATGTCTCCTCTGATGTTTCAAATAAGCAAAAAAAGTAAAAAATATATGTGTGAAGTCATGATCTGGTTTCATTCAGCATTACAGATTTATAGTTAGATAAAAATTAAACAGCATACTTCAAAAAATATATACACATGTATATTAAAATATACAAATAAAATATACACATTCATTCAATTTTCCTTTGGCTTAGTCCCTTTAATCCTCAGGGTTTGCCACATCAGCAGAAAAAAAACGCAAAATTATCCTGCAAATGTTTTACACAGCGGATGCTCTTTCAGCTGCAACTCAGTACTCAGAAAAATCCATACAATCTTACATTTACACACATACACTACAGTTAATTTAGTTTATTCAATTCTTCAATGTCTTTGGACTGTGGGAGAAACAGGAGCACCCAGATGAAACCCACGCCACCCACGAGAGCATGCAAACTCCATAGTGAAATGCCAACTGACCCAGCTGGGACTCAAACCAGCGACCTTCTTGCTGTGAGGCGACAGTGCTAACCACTGAGCCACCATGTCGCCATAATAATACTCATAAAAAGACATAATAAATGTTTTTGCATTTAAATAATTAAAAACTTTTTGCTGAAAAATGGGTAAAAAGTAGTAGTTTGTAGATAGGGTATTACAAATAATTCAACAATGAAATACAATTAAAATAATGGCTAAGAGCAAATCAAGTTTGTATTCATGTGTAATTCTTTCCTCTGACTTTTTACGAAATTCTTAATTGTTTGTATATCCTTTTGTTGTATATAACTTTGCTGTTATTGTATGTGTAATAATGTGTTTTTTTATTTTAGTTTGCCTTTTTAAAACCTGGCAAGGGGCAACTAATGATAAAAAAAAAATTTGTCCTTGTAGCTAACTCTGGCTTATTTACAGTTTTACTGTTGATTAATGAGCATTGTCCCTGGTAAATAAATAAATTTCAAATAAAGCAAAGTGTAAAGATTTAAAATGACAGTTGATTACCATTATGGAGCTTCACTGTGACTCCCAGATGACACTGTTATAAATATGACTGACAATGTGTAGTGCGTGTCTTCTTTAAATCATGTTTAAAATGTTTGTCATTCATTATTAAAATAAAATATAACAGCTATATTACACCTATTGCTTTGATACATTGAAAATCCCTTTTCATCTTGCCTCAGACACAGAAATATCAATCTAAAAATGAATCACAAAATCCAACATGGAATTTAAAGAAACCATCTCTAACAGTCACAACAAAATGTTGCATCACACTTCATATCACGCTTCAGAATTGACTTTTGCCACACTTCTGTGTCTTGTCAATAGAGTGGCTTATCTCTGATCCCAGTCAAAGATAGCCAATAATAATCCATTCTCAATATTCCTCCTGGGAGAAGGAGCATTCTGGGATACGATTACCTCTCTGATCCCAAGGAATTCACCAAATTTAGAAACAATCAGAATTGTCCCGTCCCAGTGAAACATAATTTCCTGATGGAAAGCCCAACTTTGTACAATTGAAAGGAGCCTGTGTGTCTCAATGCCAGTTTGACCTCTGACACACACGCACACACAAACTATTTTTACCATTTACATTTGCTCCAGATCAGTACATCTCACGAGAACAGGCACCAAAGCTAATGTTTTTGAGGACAGGATGTTTTAATAAGGTGAATGGCAGAAGGCAGTCTTTCGGTTTTTGGAAAACATTTGGGTTAACATACTGTATGATTACAGCTTGATTGACCCAATCAAATAAATGTAGTTCATTTTGTAAACATTTTCACTTAAAATTGCTAGTAATCTTTTACAAATAATAACAGTATGTAGAAATGACAAGTGTAACACTGAATTAATTGTGAATTTTTTAAATATTTCTAAATTAAACTTTCATTAATGGATTTTTCAGGTTGTATGAGTTCATTGAAATAATGTCAAACTAATGCAAATATTAACTAGCGTAAAAGGATTAAATGTGTTGACAAACTTTGATGTTGGCTTAACTTTGATTTTGATGTTGCTAACATGACAATGTTATGGTTTGTTAAAGATATTACAATGAATAAGCATTTTACTTGCTTATTTAACACTGAGTACGTTTACATGGACACCAATTATCCAATTTTAATACGATTAAGACAATACTCTGATTAAGAGTCTAACATGTAAATATATATTTTTGATTAATATAATCTGATTAAGGTCATAATTGAACAAAAAAGACATCTGATTAAGACATGTGGAGTATGCATTTTGTGACAGGATATTCCAAGCACACATGGCTGTTTGACAATATTCTCTACACCTATTGAGTCAGTAGGACCACAGACACACACACACACTGCAAAACAGAGAGTTTTTTTTTTCCATATGGCATGCTGGAATCAAAATCCATTAAAACAACACTCTTCCATCAGTTCACATTCACATCCAAAATCTCATTTGTCATGGGGGGCATGCATGAAATGTTCCTAAATGAAAGTGAAAGAGCCAAACTGCAGTTAAAATTGACAAATTAAAAATTAAACACCTGAAATTACATGAGACTCTGGAGGAAATGTGAATAGTGTGTTGACGCAATGACGTTAATCAAATTATGTGCTGTAACATGTAAAACGGGATCATGAAAGAAACATTCAAAAAGCAACCAATGTAAACACATTAATAATATTGTCTTATTCAGATTAAGGCAAATAATTTGATTACTGATGTCCATGTAAATGTAGTCTCTCTTAGCAACAATTAGCATTGTGGTATATGCGTTTGATACAAATTAGAATGTTGTTAACATGAATTAGGAAGTTTCCAGCATGAACTAAAACGTTAGTAACATAACTTGGCATGCTGTGACAATGTTTCTGGCATGGATTAGCCAGTTAATAACCACAAATTAATATGCTGCTTTAGCATGAATTAACATGTTGTTAGCAATAATTAACATATTGCAAGCACGCCTTTACAAGCTACTAGTATGTTTTTAGCATGAAATTGCATATAGTTAGCAAGATTTAGCATACATACAAGTCTTTAAATGTTTTATGAGTCAATCTTAAAAACATTTATGGAGTAAACAGTCAAACTTTCGAAACTCATCTGCATATTTCTATATAGTATTTTCTACATTTAATATATATGTATTGATTTGTGCATGCATCCAATGATCAGTTTACAGGCATGTGTGAATACAAAAATGACGGACTACAAGTGTTTGTGCTGGCAACTTCACCAACTATTGGCCTGGCATGCATAATACAGATCTTTTTGTTATTTTTGTAGATCACTGAGAATGTGGATTACTGTGAAAATGCTGATGTTTTAAAAAAGCTAAGTAAGAACTCTGTTTTTAGTTTTTAATACACTGTTGTCATGCAAATGTTTCCTACATCTACACAAACTTTGAAAAGCATATCTCTGTGATATAACAACAAAATATTCTGACAGTGGGCAAAATGTCTGTCTGAGCAAAAGGCCATGTGTTATTAAAACATAGCAAGGCAATCTCTCTGTCTTCCTGGTATCTGGTTCTCAGTAGAAAGTTCAACAATTGTATTATGAGACACTTGCCAGAAGCAAGACACCATTGTCCACTTTTCATATTGCGGCAAAAAGCCACTTGCTCTGGAGGCCTCTTCAAAGGAAATCCATTTTTAAAATTAGATCAACCCATAACCCAACTGCACAGATGAAAAATGTGTAGTCATTAAGCTCAGCACAGCAAACAAAGGCTGACGCAATGCCTACAGTCCACAAAAAAAACTATGTTTTCCACCATGCATGATGTTTTCTGTATACAGTTTTAAAATAATGCAATGTCCATTTTACACCACGTCTCACAATATAATAGACTGTTCCACAAGCATCTCCCCATACTGACTCCATATTGTGGAGCTGCAGACTGAATAGGCCGATATAATGTGGGCAGGGTTTCCCCTTCTGACCCGTGTGCTTTATGTTCACCCACCCCCAGCATCCGGAGGAGCCCACAAAGGCTGCCTCTGATAGAGATAAGTACCTTTGTCTCTGGGGAACAATGAATCCTAACGGTCTGAAGCTAAAAGACACAAGTTGTGTTTAATGTTCAGTTTTCATTCCTTGGCTGTCCAGCTAATAGATGGATGTGGACTGAACAGAATTGATCAGACACACATAGGCAGTTACAGTGGTGTGAAAAAGCGCTTGCCCCTTACTGATTCTTTTTTTTCATGTTTGTCACACTTTATTGTTTCAGATCACCAAATAAATTTAGATATTAGTCAAAGAT